GTACCCGGCGGGTGCAGAGGGGGCGGTGATGGTTTATTTGTCTGCTGACGGTGAGCTCCAGCTGGGGACGTGGCGTGGCATTGCCACCGCGCCGTAAAGTCACCCCTTCTTGCTTTCTGGGTCTGCGCTTCTGCGCGTGGGCGGAGGACAAACCCCAGCAGCGAACCTGCTGCAGCCATCGGCCGTTCAGGGCGGTAAAGCCGAAGCGCCCTCATCCTCCCCCTCCAGAGCCGCTCTGCGGTGGCACAGCGCCTATCACGGGGGGAACCTGCCCTCCCCACCCCCTTCACCTTCGTGGTCCCACCCCACCGCACCGACATGGCCCGAGAGCGATGAGGTTTGTGCTAATGAGCAGAAACCTCTGTTTGCGAGGGGGGACCTGACCCGCAGGGAGGGTGGCGAGAGCTGCCGCCTCCCCACCCTCGCTGGGGCTGAGGTGACACGGCGCCGTGCCCGTGGTACGTCCCAGGAGACCCAAGTACCTTAAAAGAGGATGGGGGAACGGAGGCGTTGGGGTGGGTGAAGAGAGGGGAACAAAGACATTATTGACTGGAGATGTACCCTCCGCCAGCCCCACGCTGGCAGAGCCCCCGCTTCGGCTGAGCCCGGACCGTTCGCAGCGCCCAGCACGGAGCTCGGCGCTTTCTTGCCACATCTTGGGCCAGGAGCCGATGGAGCAGAGCCGGAGCGCTGTGCCGGGAGGGCAAGGAGAAGAGGGAGGGTGGCTCTGCTACATTCACCACTGCTCTCACACATCCACTAATGCTTTACAGCCTTCCAGCATGGGATGGGCTTACACCATAGCAGGATTTATATATTAAAAGAAACCAACAGAGAAATAGTTTACAACTATGTACAACGGAAGTAAATCCATACGGGATGGCTGGGTGTATATACATGAGTGTAGATTGGCACAGTGGTGACCACGCCAGCGTTGTATTTGCCTGCAAGGACCATGCATCTGAGCCATGGGCTTTGCTATTGCAGATTTTCAGCACAGATCCCCCAGGAACAGACAGGGACAGAGGGTCAAAAAGGCAAACCAACCCCAGGTGGAGGCCGTTTGGATGGGTACGGTCCCAACAGAGGAGGGCAGCAGATAAATACCTCTCCTGCTGCGTTTTCTAGCCTGTTTGCATCTTAGGAAAATGATTTCTGTCATTAAATACATAACCTTATACATTCAACCAACAGTTCAGCTAGTTTGGGGGTTGGTTTTCCTTTTGTCTTTTCCCCTCCAATTTGTGCAAGATAATAAATACAGCTCTGGATTCCCACCTGCTTCCTTCTTTCTGGTGTCCCCACATGGTCAACATGAGGATAAACTATAGGAATTGGTATCTGGTGACAGACTTAGTATCCCTTTTTCTATGATTTATCATATACAAGCTAGCAAATGTTATAAATATAGAAAGTTTGGTGGTTTTTTTTTTTTAAACTTCCCATTCAATAAATATCTACAATTAAGCTTAACTAAATCCCAAGTCATCCAGGTTAAATGAATTCTGAAAACAAAAGACACCAGAAGCCCCATCAGTACACTCCTGCCAACCCCTACGCAGCAACTGTATCGCAACCAAGCAAATGGGATTTCTGGAAATGCTACATGAGCTCTGCCTATTGCTTATCTAATTAGAGATGACATTTCACTGTCACTGCTGTGCATTTACTGAGGAAATTTCCTCTAATTAAAGGGGAAAAAAAAAAAAAAAGAGAGACTAGATCAGTTTTCTGCATGCAACAAGTACCTGCCTACTTATTACAGCGTTGCATGTTTGGACAAAGATTTTTTATTTAGCACCTTGTCGCTGTCGAGAGAAAAGGGGTTGCTGCATCTGCAGGGCTTGCTGCATCTCAAGGGATTGCAGAACCAGCCCTGGGATGAGTGCACAGACAAAGCCGGTGACATTCGCTGACTGAAAACCTTGGGCACATTCTTTATATCCGCTCTCTTCCCTCCCCTGGCTTTCCCTAGTGTTTGTCAGCACTAAAATAAACATGAAAAGCAGTCTCTACGTTTAAAAAGAAACACTTTTGTACAGAGGAGGCAAAAGTCGAACAGCAGCAGTAGAGATGGGGGAATGGGCTGTACTTCAAGCCAATGCCATTCATCCCCAAGATACAAAAAAAAATATTAAAAATCTTAATATTTAAGGAGCAAAGTAGAGCTTGTTCCAGGAGAGGAGGTACTGGATTGATATCCCTACAAAAATACACCTATGTGTACTGCACACTTAGGTTTTTGTGACTTCTTAACAGAGCTTAAAAGGTTTAGAGGAACAAACACTGAACGTCTTTGCTTTGTGGCGTGGGTTAAGATCCCCTTTGCTCCAGCACCGGGGGAGCAAGCGTGCGCGTTGGGGAAATGGGATCTGACCCACATCCTTCTGGAGCGGGTTTGTCCTGTTGATGTAAAATTAATATTCCATCGAGAGAAACCTGATGCTACGGCTCAGCTTACAGGCAGAACGACACGATGTTGACACAACCGCCTGAACACATCCTGCCGCCGCTGCTCCCGGGGAGGGGGCAGCCCTGCTACCACCTTGCTTTAAAGAGAGGGTCCAAATCAGCGTGCCCAGGCGGGGTCAAAGAAAGCGATAGGCCTAAACGTGGAAAGACCCTTAAACAAATGAGCTGTATCTTCGCTTCTGGGTCAAAATCTTTGAGGGACACAGGAAGCTTTTGAGAAACACGTACTTGGTGTGCAACGGGCCCTTCTACTGGTGTGCAGGCAGGGAAGGAGGGCGGGGGGAGTTGACCCATCACCTTCAACAGGCTACTGGTGGCAAATTAAGCGTTTGGAAGGAAAGCGAAAACGAGATGCCCACCCTGAATACGAATCCAATGCGGCTTTTTTCAGCTGGGAATGGGTATTGCTCGTGCGGCCGTGCCTGCCGAGCAAGCAGTTGATGGTTCTTGTGGTGTGCAGGCAGGGGGAGCAGCCGTCCGTCCGAGCCAGTTTTTAAGCAGCTGTACTTCATGACATGCGTACGTTTTCGGCTTTCACTCTACATTATTAAGATTCCTCTTTTGGCCCCATCTATTGAAATTCTGACCAGTCCCAAAACCCTGAATAACCCAAAGTGCTTCAGTTTGTGGAAACAGTTGCTTCTGCTTTCTCCGAAGGCAAAAGGCTAACGTCATCCTCAGAACACAGGTTGTTAAAAAGAGCCAGTGCCACCGCCCCCCCTCTGAGGAGCACCCTTCCCATCCTCCCAAACTATCAAAAGGGCTTCTCTGGTCTGCTTGCTTTGCTCTCCGGCAATGCCTTGCAAATGACACTGTTCGTGTTCCTGCACCTGCACCCGGGCCGGCTCACTTGGTCGTAGCATCTCTGGGACAGCTTGACGCAGCCAGTGGCCGGCAGGTAGCAGAGCAAGCAAGGGAGCACCAGGGAGAGGGCACTCATGAAGGACCAGCGGGCGCAGCAGTTTGAGTGGGAGCAGGAGCAGGGGTGGTCGGCACACGTGCCCTCGTCGTCCTCGTTGGTGCAGTGGTAGAAGACGCCCTTGACGAGACACATGCAGGTGGAGTAGTTGACCAGGTTCTGTGCCGAGCAGAGGCACTCTTGGTTGCACACCCAACACGAAGGCAGAGTCCGGGGCAGCGCACACTCCTTGCACTTGCATTTCCCGCAGGCTTCGCACAGGAGAAAGTGCTTGTCCAGTTCCTGAGACACGGGTCCCTTCAGGTCCAGGGGTTTGCAGTTAATCACCTTGGGCTGAATGCGAACCGCTAGAGGACTGCTCTGCCACGGGCGCCGGGGCCATGTGGTCCAAGAGCCTTTGGTCTGAAGATGTGCTGCTGCTGCTGCTGATGGAGCTGGGGCGCCCGCTGAACGAGATCCAGGGGTGGGTGACATCCTGCTCGCAGCGCTGCAGGTGCTGGTTGGTCAAGACCAGTTCGTGGGGGCCTCGGGGATGCTTCTGGGCTGCCAGCTGGGAAGCGGTGGGGTTGTCGCCGGGGCCATGTGGTCCAAGAGCCTTTGGTCTGAAGATGTGCTGCTGCTGCTGCTGATGGAGCTGGGGCGCCCGCTGAACGAGATCCAGGGGTGGGTGACATCCTGCTCGCAGCGCTGCAGGTGCTGGTTGGTCAAGACCAGTTCGTGGGGGCCTCGGGGATGCTTCTGGGCTGCCAGCTGGGAAGCGGTGGGGTTGTCGGTGTAATCGTTCTCTATGTGAGTGGTCTTCATCTGGTCGATTGGCAGGATGGTGAGCGGATGCTGCAGACGCCCATAAGGGATCCGACTGTCCAGCAAGGGCTGGACCATCACAGAGTTGGGGACAACGGTGATATTGTGGGGAATCCGGGGCTCCATTGATAAAGCAGTCTGATGAACGGTGAAAAATCTCCTCTTAAGTATCCTGGGGGAAGGAAAGGAGAAAGAAAAGGGGCAGGGGAGAGAAAGAGCGCATCGTTACTGAGTTATGCTGCAACCCCAGCCCAAACAGGGCTCTTTGCTGAAGCTGGTTATTATGCAGAGGGTCTTACAAGGTCAGCTTGTGTCCAAGGGAGTCAGAGCGCTTGCCCTGGTATAAAGCGCATCGCTCTTTCTTTGCTACTGTTTTCCTCTCCCTAACCTTGGCCATATATAGCTCCTCCGGTCCTGGGAGGGCTATCGTGGCTGCAGGCTCCTGAAATGCCCATTCGTCATTTTTTACTGAGGCGAAGCACATCTCAGCGTTACTGGTGCCTATTCACACGTATTTTCGTCAGCAAACCGCCTGAAATGACTTATCGAAGGTTTGGGGATTTTCCCCCATTGACCCTCAGCCCGAATAAACCTGAGGCAAAGCTGTGGCTCGCAGGATCCCTGGCCTGGTACAAAGATGCTTGGGGCTGAGCACTTGTCCTGGCTAACCCAGAATCTGCCGGCGGGAGGGTGGCTGGGCTGCGGCGAGGAAGTGTCCTGTCTCCCTCGGGAGCCGCTGGCTTCAAAGGCGGCTTTCAGCCCTCCCGCGGGAGGTGGAAGGTCTTGCTCAGCAGCTTGTCTGGTGGCAAACCGGGGTGGGAGCGGACGGGAGCAACGCACAGGCCAGACCTGGTATGTCACCTCGCGCAGGTAATTAGGCACTCCTCTTCAAAACGCTAAGTGGGCTAATATTTAGTTTAAGTGCTGTTTACTGGCTGCACTGGCTAAGCCGTCTGCTGCCGCAGTTTCTAATTTCATGGGAAGAGTGCAATTTATCCTGGAGCCGGTCCAAAGATTCAGCAGCGGCGTAGGACAAGAAACCACAGGAAGTAACTAAACTTAAATCAAAGAACGGAAACGACTTGGTTCAAATTTAGAAAGTGCACATTGTTTTCTAGTAGATGTGCCATTTCCTCACGGGGTGACCTTTATTCATAAATAATATAATGTTGGAGATCAGTTTAAAGGAGCGGTGAGTAAAGCTTCAGAGCAGGAGGGGAAAAGCTCCTGGTATCGAGAAAAAGGAACTAGTGAACAGCATTGCCAGTGGTTTGTGCTCAGACAAACAAATTAACCTTTTCCAACAGCATGGAAGATTTTAATATTACAGCAGGCTGAAGAAAAGTTGGGAAAAAACTGCACCCAACTACAACCGAGTCGCACACGAGAAGGGTGCGTGTGAGAGTGACCGTGTGCGCTGCTGCAAGAGCACAGCCTCCCCCCTAAATTCAACGCGACGCTGCAAAAATTGCAGCATGAACTGATGATGCATTTTTGGAACGAGAGAGGGAAGTGCATTTTTATCCACTGAAGAATGTTACTAGAGTCCACTATTACATTTGGAAATCATTGCTTTGATAGACCACTTGGCATCTGAGGGGCTGAAAACCTGCCAGTTCTCCCGAGATCAATAGGGGAGAGGGCTGACGCCGGGGAGCGGGGGCCAGCGCAGCAGCGCGTGGGCAGGATGGCACATGCCACCTCTGGGCGCTGGCACCGCATCCTGCCTGCCAGGCTCCTTTTGTCCGCTGCACAAGACAAGCAGGAAGAAGTGCTTTATCTAGCAGTAATGATCATGATTGTAATGCAGTCCTTATGCTGTTTCTCTGCACTAGTTAAAATTCTCTGCTGGGTCTCAGCCATTCATCTGATTTTTTTTTTTTTAATTTCATTATTCATAGCCCATTGACATCCTGACTTGAGAAACAAGAGAGTTTTTAAAGCGTCTATTCCTATTTACTGCATGTAAAAAATAAAAAGAAGCAATGATTCTGACAACTACGGGGCATGCAGAGGGAAAAGAAATCTGATTTTCTTTCGTACATCAGCATCCAGGGCCGTGATACAAAAAGGACTTGCTGCAAGACAGAGTTTGGCAGAAAAGTCAGTTCTGCATCAGCTAGGTGTTATGTTTGCAGGAGGACTTTGCTTTCACTGGGTTTTTTTGTGGTTTTGTTTTTTTTTTGATAAGGAGGGAGATGCAGCTGTTTCAGCTGCCAAGAGGCAGCGCAGCAGGGCTGATGTTAGATGGAAGGTAGCTGGAGGAAATGGTGGCACGCTGAACGACACGACAAGCCTCGCTGTCTGCTCCGCAGCGCTGCCTTCGCTGCCTCTCCGTCACTTTCACACAACCTCTCGCCCAGGGCTCAGCGTTCCGGCCTGCGCTCACTCCCCCCCGTTACCAACTCCCTGGAGTTCGGCCCGTTCGCAGGAGGTTTAGACCGGATCCACGGAGCAGGAGTTCCTCGAAGTGCACCCGTGTGGGGAGGAGAGCCGCTTGGCCCCCGGGCAGCACCCGCCACCTCCGCCGAGGCTGAGCTGATGCTGATTTTCCCCGACAGGGCAGCTCTGAGCCGGGGTGGCACATAGAGGACGTTCTGCATTGCCGGTGGCATCGCACGGGGAGCCCCTCGCTGCCGGTGCGGGAGGGCAGCCCCCTGGGGCCAGGAGCAGCACCCAGGGGTTGGCATTTAGGCTGCACATTAACGCCGTGGTTGCACAGTCGGCGATGGTCCAGAACTCGTGATGACATCACGCGGAAGTTATGTCATCAGATTAATTTGGAGAAGGATCATAGCCACAGGCACTCTTAAAACACCCAAACTCCTGGTACATAGACGTGGCCATGTGCAGGCAGACATGAACGGTGGCTTCACCGAGATAATGCTAATCAGGATTTCAGAGTTGATTACCACAGAAAGGAGAGGAACCCTGGACTAGACGCCACACTTTAGGATAGTTAATGTTGAAAATGATTCATCAGCTTTTTTCGCTATAACACTCAAATTGTCTTTTCAACAGACAAACTTTTTCTGCAGAACAAGGGGAACGGAAGCCCTGACATGGCAAACTCGAAGACCCTGCAGACATTTGGGCACAGGATCTACTTGGATAAAGCCTCTGGGGTCAAGACAGCCAAATAAGACCCAGCCCTCCTAATTCCCAGACCCCTGCTCTGGACACAACATCTTTCTTGCTGAAGATCACCTTTAAAACACCATAGATACACACCCTACCACGTTTTAGTGCGGTGCTACACATGGTCCTTCAACTTCTGCCCTGCCTTTTCACTCCTGAGCAGAGTGTTGCCACAGTTAACTGCTCTCACCTTTTAAGCTACTCTTAAGAGACATAGATTTCTGTAATATTTACAGAATTTTCCAAGGACCACGACTACATTGCTGCCGATTGTCTTGTCACCAGAAGTTTCAGCAGCGCAGTAAGATTGCTGGAGACAGATCCAGGTCAAACATCTTGAGTGCTGAACTAGAGAGTGAGCTGGGTGGTGTTTGCTCTGCAAGGAGGCTCTCTTCCATTGGGATCTGCCCAGATAACAATGATGATCAATATTTTATGGTATGGTTGCTTCAGTTCGTTTGCGTTCTTCCCCTGGCACGTGCCTTGAGCACGTCTTCCCTGAGCTGTTTCTGCTTTAAGCTTTGTGTCTGCATCCCATGGAAAGAAAGATTTCAGCAGAGGGTACCAGTAGCTGCATATGTACACAGCATTCCATCCCTCATGGTAAAGAAGAGGGATCCAGTCAAGTTCTCTGGTTAAGGACTCGTGCTGGACCAGAAGCAAGTCAAGAAGCCAGACTGCTCCCGTGAAGTCTTGTAGGCTGAGGTGTGCCTGCCTGGGTATATGCACGGATCCTGGTGATCCTCCCTGGAAGATCCTCCAAGACATCACAACTTGACCTTTTTTTGGTTCATGTGTTCCCCAGAGGGGAAAAATACAGCTACAACCAGTGTGAAACCGTTCCAGGATGACTGGAACAATACAAGTAAGTCATCCTTTGAAACACAGTCAGTTTGCAGGCAGATCTAAGGATACCTCGTGATTCTTTACCAGAGTATCTGGTAAGATGTCCGCTCAGCAGCAGGAAAACTCATTCC